TTTTACCACGAGTTGTAAAATGACTCATATGTGGTAACTATCGTTATCATCATCATCATAATCATCCTTATTTTCATTTTTTGTGGTCAGATTCTCATTAATTTTATTATTGTGATTATTATGATTATTATGATTATTCAGATTAAAAATCTACAAGACTTGATGTAAACATTGAGAAAGGACATGCCTGCATTCAGGAATATAGACGAATATACTATACCATTTCTCATTCAGAATGATCAAAAATAAATAAATAAATAAATGAATAAATGAATGAATGCACTAATATAAATTACTTAATGAATCAATATCTCAACATTTAAATCTTTCAGAATATTCTTCTCAAGAAATTAAAATTTTCTAATAATAAATAAAGAATATTTTCTGTTATTCCATGTATAATAAATGACTTATATTTAAATGATGCAAATGAACGAAAAAAAATGTTGAATCATTCTGATAAGAAATATATAAATCTTGCTAGATGAATGAAATGAAATGATATAAATGGCAGCCAGCTCTCAGGAGTACATATTAAAATATGTCAAGGGTATACATTTTTATTCCAAAATTATCAATTAATGAATATGAAAGAGAAGAAAAGAAGGAGAAAGAGAGAGAGAGAGAAAGAGAGAGAGAGAGAGAGAGAGAGAGAGAGAGAGAGAATAGAGAAGAGAGAAGAAAGTATTTTCATTATACATAAGAAATGTTAAGAAGATATAACGAATGATATAAAGTTTATTAAGAAATGTTTGCATATATATAAAAGAAATATAATTATTTCTTTTTTGGAATAAAAATGCATAAGTCTTGGTATATGAATGAAGTGATTGAAATGGCTTGCCTGCACTCAGGAGTGCATATGATAGGTTCATAGTAAGTACATGATTGCATTCAGGAATGCAGATGAACATATTATAGTAAGGATATACATTTCTCGTTATACAATGATCGATATGAAAGTGCAATTATGAAAGTATATAATAAATAAATATTTAAACATTCCAGTATTATATAATTCTTTTAAAGAAATAATATTTATTTAACAATAAATTAAGATTATTTTATATTCTTTCTAATATAATAATGTATTTACATTTAAATAAAGTGCAAATGAATGAAAAAAAAATTTGAATCATTTTGATTAGAAATGTATAAATCTTGCTAAGCGAGCGATATGATACGAATATAACAGCCTTGCACTCAGGAGTGCATAAAATATATCAGGGATATACATTTTTGTTCCAAATTATTTAAATACAATTATCAAATGAAAAAGCTCATAGATATATAAGAAAGTATATTTTGTATATATTGTAAGCATATATTGTATATATGCGTATATATGAAAGATTCATAAGAAATATGAAGAAATAATAATGAATGATATAACAATGAATTTTTAAGAAATATTTATATATTAAAGAAATATAATTATTTTTGGAATAAAAATGCATAAGTCTTGGTATATAAATAATACATATGAAAAGGCTGTCCCATACTCAGGAGTGTGGACGAAAACAATTTAGAATAGGGACAGGTATGCATACAGGAATGCACCCTGGCATACTCAAGCATGTAGATTTTTATTTCAAAATAATTCTACATTTTTTTTTATAGGATTATTACTAAGTAATAATTCTATAAAATCACTAACCACCATTTTATTATATTTTAATTCTAAAATTCTAATTATTCTGATTAAAAATCTATAAGACTTGACGTAGTTAGAGAAATTAGAATCTGTTAAAGCAATCAGTGACGATAAATTAAATTCATAAAATAAATTCTTAAGAATAATATGCAAGATTATTGAAACAATTTTATCTCTAATATCTACAACATTTTTATATTTAATCTTATTTTTCTTATTTTTCTCTTTCAGATTTCATATTTTATTATTATTTCATTTACATAATACATATATATTTCATATAAAAAATACATGGTTCTAAAATTGTGAATTTATATTAGTATATTTTTTATAATTTAATGAATAAGGAAGTATCTTATAAATAAACGATGTAATATATACATCAGACACTTGATGTAACTGCATACTTCGCGTTAGTATACACGTGATAAAATAAGATATCTGTAATCTATCGATTAAATATAGGTCTGGTCTTGTTAAGGACATGGTTATAGCGGTATACAAAATTGTGTACGCATTTTGTAATACGACATAAGGTGCAGTATACTTTTTTCCTTTTTTTACTTCTTTTTTCTTTTTTTTTTTTACCGCGACTTAAGTTAATTCTTTATTATTGTAAAATGTTCACAATTTTTTCTTGTTTTTTTATAACGTGTCTTGAATAATTTGCAATATGTATTTATAATTATATTAATGAATTGACAATTTAGTGTGCAATTTTCGTTCTTTTTTTATATATGTGTGTATATATACACAATATGTATATATATATACACACATATATAAAAAAGAACAAAAATTATATATATATATATATATATATATATATATATATATATATATATATAAACGTCATTCATAATAAATTTTCTATTTCTGTTTAAAGATAAAACACATATTCTAATGCATTGAGAAATCGAAATGTTTTATGCTAATATTTTTTGTCATTATAATGTTTGCTTTTTTGTATTTCAGCATTACAATTCATGACCAAAAATATATATTATAAGATTTTTATATTTATCGCATTATCAAAAGTGAAAATATTTGGTCATAGATTGTACATACAGTTTCACCTTTCTACATCGTGTTCTTTTATATAGTTTTCTATTACAGAAAGTTTAATTTTAAAGTATCAAGATTAAGTATTGCAAAATATCCTTCTATCAATACATATTAACGACAATATTGGAAAGAATATTTTAAGGTAATATTTTTATATATGGTATAAAAATAAGTTAATAAAGATTATAAATGTATTATAGAAAATTAATTTATTTTTCAAGTTTACGGTATGCTGTAGCCAACAAAAAGTCAAAATAAAATAATAATGGGAATTAATAATAATATATTTAAATATTGAGGACTTAAATGACAAGTTGGAATCATAAAAAGTGAAGAGTAATAGAGGATGAATTGTTTCGAATAATTTTTTTATTTATTTGAAAAATTGGAGGAATTTTTAATTAATTTATTCAGAGTTGATTTCTGTTTCAGGAAAAATGTAAATTGGCAAGATTCGATTTCACTCTTTCTAAACTGTGTTTTCGTTGTTGTTTTTATATGTGAATGAGAATATGTGTGTACGTGTATATATATATATATATATATATATATATATATATATATATAATGTGTGTGTGTGTGTGTGTGTGTGTGTGAGATAATTATTTTTTATATATTTAATTGGATCATATATTATTTTCAGAAAGTAACAAATTTGTCTTATTAAAAAAAAATGTCTTATTAAAAATGTCTTATGTTTACAGATGGCTGCTGATTTATTATATAAAATTCGTATATTATTTTGATTCCTTCTTGTTTAATTATAAAATGGTTTAGATGTTTTATGTTCACAGGTAACTATGCTGTTTATATCACTTGAAGAAATTATATATAGAATATATAAAATAATAAAGCGATATCTTTACAATATTATGTATTCTCATTGTCAAATAATATTTAATAAGATATGTAATCTTTATATAATGTTTATAGGCTGTGTGTATAATAATGTGTGTATATGCATTTTTTTTGCAGTTTCAACATGATGCAGATTTGGTTTAATTTAGGAATAGAGTTTCATGAAAAATGACCAAAGTGCTCTATTCCATCGCGCTTATCGGGTAGGTAGGTCGATATCAAATGAATACATAAATTTTCGTCTAATCTCGATTGATTAGAAAAAAATTTTTGATTCATTTCGCGATTGATTTTGTGTTTTTTTTCCAAATTATAATGATTATTGTTATTTGGAATTAAAGAGTAGAGTCTTAGTTCGTGGGTCTCCGTATGCGGCAACCTCCAAGTGGTGAGACCTGGGTCGATATTATTTGCGATATACAATAAATGTAAATAACGCAAGTACTGTCGTGCTAATGGCTGCATTTAAATTCAATTAAAATTTATTATGTTCTATGATAATTTATATTCTATTTTTTTATATTAATATATATATATATATATATATATATATATAAATATAAAAATAGAACATATCTCATGTCTCAATAAAGATATTAAATAGATTTATTTAGAAATTTTGAAATTAGCTATATATTATAATCTTGAGAAGAGAGAGTTATTTTAATGCGCTTTCAGTTCATTTTTTTCGTAATCATAACTCACATAAATCTCGAATATAGACGATATATGTGCATAACTTTAGTGTATATAGAATAAAACAAATAAAAAATAATGATGAAACATATAAAATGATAAATCGTGTAGCTTTTTACTTTATTAACTGGAGTAAATGTAGTTATTAAAAATAGTTCTTTATTTTACCGAATAAAAAAGAAACCAGTTGGTAATAGTGGATTCTTCTGTATCAGTTGAGTCAAACGTAGTGAATAATAGTCGAGCGCTATGTTATAGACTAGTTGGTAATAGTAAGATCCTGTCATAGAAATCGATAAAATCTCGATCGGCAATAATAGAGTAGACACATTTATAATTATGTTGAAATCATAATTTAATTTTATGAGAAATTTTAAAGAAAAATTATAATAATTCTCGATAATATTTGTAGTTTCTTTTTTTTTTGTAATACTAAATGACAATGTTTAAGAATGATTTAATTTTTATGAGATCAGAATTTTATTATTGATGAGATATTTTAAAGAAAATGTAGTAATTCTTAATTAGAAAAGTGAGATAAGAAGATTAATTATTATTACTAATTAATTTGATTTTATATGAATTTTAGCTAACAGTAATATTATAAATTTATGATATCTTAAATTTTGATAAAAAGATGATAATGATGAGTTTATTATTATATATATAATATTATTGTGATGATTATTGTGATGTGAGATTAAATCAGTTTCAAATGATCCGTGTATTAACATTTTACTATAAAAAATAACTTGTACAAAATTTCTTAGATTTACGCAGATCTTAATTCGAACACTGTATCTTACGACGTTATGGCTGAATAATTTTTTACTACGGATATCACGTTTGTAGTTATCTTGCTTACATAATCATAAGCACAGTATTGTTCTTGGAGATCGACACTGTATTCATTTTTCTTATTGAGTTTTTTTCTTATTGGGTTTTTTTCATATTGAGATTCGCCTCTTTTTTTTCATATTAGCGATTGGATCAATTACGTGTGATTACATTTGAATAACCGTGTATCTTATTAATCCAACACATTGAAATGTTTCATGAACATTTAAATTAATGAGGATTGTTAAAAATTAAATTTTCATGATGTTTTTTTTTTTTTTTTTATATAACTAAAGATGTTATAAAAAATCTTCAGTTGAATGAAAAATACTCAATGGTTAAAGTTCATGTGTCGTTTAGAGTCCGATGATCAATCGACTTCAAATACACTTGTTATTTTTAGTTAACTTATCATTCTCTGCATTGGACGGTGTTCCACCATTCGCATCGATTTTTATCCTTGCTGAAAGCCGTACCACGTGGACAAAGAGAAGACGTTCTCGACCAACCAGAACAATTATGAAAGACCTGGAAGAAGGAAGCAAAACGAAAGCAAAATGTTTCATGGCGTGGTCGAATCTGTTAAAAGCGTTACGATTTGTGACATATATTATATAAGATATAATAGTATGATCTGTTTGTAGAGATGAGTGACACAATTTGTAAATAAAAAATTTTAAATCTTTGGTTGTAAAATTTTAAAAGTTTGGTATAAAAAGACATTGTCTATGTTAATTTTTCGAAAGTCTTGATTCTTGATTTCAACGCAGATTTTCTTTTTCTTCTTCTTTTTCTTCTATCTCTTCTTTTAATCTCTTTGATATATGTAGAACGTAAAGTATAGGTAGTATGAGTGATTAAATAGGAAAATATGAGATAGAAAGTCTCCATGAGATGCTTCCTCGTTCTCCTCTTAAGATTGAGTCACTTCCTTGTTCGATTATATTCGAAGTGAATCGATTTTATTAATTCATTTTAATTAAATATCTTTCATAACGAAGATCTAACTAATATAATTCGTAATTAGAATGGCTGCGCGAATTCTTTACTTCTTCTAATTCTTATATATTAAATGAGATATGAATTTCTCTTTCATATATTTATAAAAGCATAATTTTCAAATGTCTTAAAATCAAAATACTTCGTACTATAAAATCGATCAGTAGAATGTTTAATTGAATTTTTAATAAAAGATAACTAACTGACCATTACTTACTAAATAGCATAGAGTATATATTAAATTGACTAAAAATTAATATCATTATTTTTTATATATTGTATTATATTACATTGTATTTGAAAAATTCGCAGATTTTTTCTACTTTAAGATTTATTTCATTTTACGAATGAAATTCAGATATACATTAAATAAAAAGTCACGAATTTTTCAAATTGTTCTTAAATGAAAATAAACAAATATTAGAAATTCCTACGTTAATTTTTCAGAAATTCAGAAATTCTGGAATTCAAAAATTCCTACGTATTAACCAATTTAATATATAATCAATGTAACAGTTTTATTTTAAAAAGAATTATGCATTTATTATTTATGAGACAAAAGTATGGTCATTCATCTTAATTTGGATACTTTCGCTTAATGTACAATACATATATACGTATAACTAATGTACATATATACAAATGGTTTGCCATTCTCGAATCGTTATTGATTACTTCCTCGTTACGTATAAACTACATAAATATATCTTTCATCATAAAAATATCATATAGGAAGTATCGAAGAATCTTTCTCTTACAAAACGTGTCGTGTGAAGATAACCTCGGAAGTTAACCGGCCAACTCGTCACGAGTACCAGCGTAAAGTTGTAATTATTGAATATCTGCACGTTAAGATTAAAAGTAAAAGCGTTTAATACATTCAGTGAACTTACTTGACACTTGGTTTCTACGTCAGCGAACATACCCTTCCTTCCACGGCAAGAAAATTCAGTCTCTGGAATTATCGTGAGATTCGTGTAACTAATATTTGATGTGATATTATTATTGTACTTGTTATCGCGATAACCATTAGAACGAACATTCGTTCGAATAATTTTGTTCGAATTGTATCTGTGCCGATCTGCGCCATTATCGTAATTGTTTCTCTCGTTAGATTTGCCAACAACGTGTCTTAACGATCTTCCGTGAAATTCGTCGAGAAATCCTTGATAATCCGTGAGAATCTAAAATGTAAAAATATTCGTAATTTTTATCAGGATAATGGTTGAACATATTTAATGATAATGTTGAACATATTAAATAATAACAAGTTCGTTATTATTTAATCAATATTTTTCCTTTTTTCTTTTTCTTTTTTTTTATGATTTTATATTTTGCTCTTATTATTAATTTCTCATTATTTATAATTTACTCTTTAATAAATATGCTAAATTATTTTTTTTTCTGCATATATATATATGAAATATATATATATATGCAGAAAAAAAAATAATTATATATATGAAATATATATATATATGCAGAAAAAAAAATAATTTAGCATATATATATATAAATAATTTAGCATATATATATATATATATATATGTATCCTTTCTATTTTAATCATAATTTTTTATTATAATTAAATCTGTTTTTTCTTTCACTCTGTGCCATCAATATATCATAGCGTTGAACGATCGCTTCACGGAGATTTGTATGTTTGATATATGGCATCACGCTCGACGTACATACTTTCGTTTTTTCACATCTGGTATAACGTATAAGGATATCTTCTTGGGAGGACTATGTAATACTAGAAAACTGTGGTAGTATTTGTGGTGTAGGCTCGAACGATCGTGGAAGTAGGTAAACTAGAATCTCATGTGTCGACAAAACTTGTTTTGCTTTCACGGTCTGTATGACTTGCAACATCTGTACTATTTATTTAGCTATTACATACGTTTGTCGATCGATTTAATTATGTATCATTGTTTAGAAATAATGAAAACAAGAGAGAGAGAGAGAGAGAGAGAGAGAGAAAACTCATTCGATCAATCGAATAAAAATTGAAGTATTCAAAGTGTTTCGATTCATAAGTTTTAATTATACTATTATTATTTTGTTTGTTTGTATTTATAAATCGATTATTAATAAATCGATTAATAAAACGCCCTAATTATTGATCTAGAAAATTGAAAATAAAATTGTTATCATAAAATAACATCGTAAATATATGCAGCTTGTCCGTTTTTTCTTTTATCTTTTTTTTTTTATTTTTTTTTTCTTGATTACTTTTTAAAATTTTAACTTTTAAAATGTTTATTCAAATATATCGTATAATTTATACAAAATTATGCAAATTATATAGAAAAGAAGAAAAAAGTATAACTTCTGTATAAACGTATATGATATAATAAAACAAATTACCTGATGAGAATTAAACAATATGTTGTCGACGTAATATTCATTGAAAGGTCGATAAACGGTATCCCAATCGTATTCGAGATCCAAGGTAGGCAAATACGTTCGTTCAAAGAAATTAGGATTCGCTGGTAACATCAATGGCGTTACTATTGGCTTATAAACACCAGGTTTGGTAGGTGGAATCAATGGTACAAGCTGTTGTCTGTAATTAGGATAAGGTTGCTGTTTGTTATGCATTCGATGATGCTTGTAATTTCCAAAGTTATTCATTGGTTTCTCGGGTCTTCCGAAAGGCGTTCGAATTATGTAAGTTGTGTCGACGGCTTTCGGATGATCATAATGAGTCCGACCTTCGGGTGGTACGTATCTACCATCAGGCGTTAAGTATACCTTTAATAAAAATTATTTATTAAATTATATAACATATTATATTAATGATTTATTATCTCGTTGAATTTTATTCAATGTATTTTCATATTTATTCTGCATATAAATTTGTTTACTTTAATGATCTTAGGCATATGCTGGGAAGTATGTGGATGTTTATGAACCTGTCTCGCGTCTAGTACAACACCATCCGGTATTGTAATGCCTTCCTTATTCAAGCGATTTAGCGCCAAACGATCGGTTCTAAAAGCTTCCTCTGGTATTTTCCCACCAAGAGCTGGCAATACTTGTTCCCTAAAGATTTGACGTTTTTGCTGCAACAAGAATTCTGAGGACTTCGTGCGAACTGCGGTTCGTTTGATTCGTTTTTTCTTTCTTTCTTTTTTTTTTTTCTTTTTTTTTTTTGTTTAAAAAAAATTAAATCAAAATAAGATAGAAGAATATTTTTGTGCAAATGAAATTTGGAAAAGTTAATGAGGAATTAACGAAAGATATTTTTAAATAGAAATATAACCTTTTCAGCTACTGCAACGGATAGCAATAAAAAAATCGTGATAATCAATGTCAGCTGGCGGCACCAATTATTATTGTTAATACTGCTATTATTGCTATCGTTCATCTTTCCGTTTCCGTTCATCTTAATTAATGTACGATCGATCGATCGATCAATCAATTAATTAATTAATCAATCAATTCGACTTCGACTTTGACTTCGACTTCGACTTTGACTTCGACTTCGGTTTCGGCTTCGGCTTCGGCTCCACTCTTAAATCTGTACGATCATCGCATCCTTTCTATCTTCTTGGTTTTGGTCCCTCTCTAGTATGCTAATGCACCGTTATATCTGCAATAGAATTACGAAATATAGTTGTGCCGTTCTTGTAAAATACAAGAAACATTTAAGAAAGTATCGCGTGTCGTCGTTAAAACACATCCGACAACTGATTTGCATCGCTTGCGAAAATATTCGAGAAACGAACGGATTCTTTCTTCTTTTTTTTTTTTTCTTCTTCTTCTCTCTCTCTCTCTTTCTCTCCCCCTTTTTTTTTTTGAGCAACAACGGATTAATACCGGAAGGTAAATTGTTTCATGACAAAACTATTGATATATCATTTTACAATGTAAATTTGTAGAAAATCTATTAAAATACATTTATCGCAATTCTTGCTCATGCTCATGCTTATGCTCATGTTCATGGTCGTGCTCATGATCCTGTTTCGTGATTCGTGATTGAGTTGATATAATATAATCAAAACCTTTTTTTTTTTTTTGTTTTATATATATATTTTTTTTCTTTCATATATAATGCTTATACAATATATATTTTTATTATAGTATATTCTTAATATTATCATAGTAGGTTTTTTTTTTTTCTAAAATTTCACGTTAAAATAAGTTAAAATAAAAGAAAAGAAAGTATTCCAAATTCTTTTTTTCTTTTTTTTTTTTTTTTCTTTTTTTTTTTGGGAAACGCTTCACCGATGAAATTTATTCGTTACTTTGGCCCGCTTACTCTCTCGCGCGTCTATATTTGAATTATGCAACGTCCGGCAGTCACGTGTGTTCCAGAAAGATGAAGAGATAAAGAATGAAATAGATGCATTGATAGGAGCGCGTGCGTGAATTCTCGCATGGATCTTTAAAACGCAACCAGAAAATCCGGAACTTTTCGGCTTCTTTTAGAAATGTTTATTTTAACATAATTTTTATTCTGCTCGTCACCGGAAGATATTTATGGTCGTCCTCTTTTTTTCTTTTTTTTTTCTTTTTTTTTTTATCTCTTACATTGAAAGGAAAAATACAAAATGCCTGAGCACTATTGGTGAATTTTAGATTATTATAAATTTTAATTTATTATTATTATTATTATTATTATTATTATTATTATTATTATTATTATTATTATTATTATTATTATTATTATTATTATTATTATAAATTTTGTTTAGATATTATCAGATGAATGAGATTTTTTATTTAACGATATATATAATATATAAAATATATAAAATAATTCTTTTTATTCGATATAGTATAGAAAAAAATATAAAAATAGAAATACAAGGGAAATTCTAAATTTTTAAATTCGTTCTTAAAACATTGGATTGCTTTTCTTTTTGCCATCTCATCGAAGCTAATGAACAAATTAAAGTAGATTTGTAATATGCGATAATTTATTCTTTCATAATATTCTGTAGATTTTTCATATGTAACGAGAATTTAATTTTGACTGTAAATTATCATCATCGTTATCGAACGTTCTGTTTGGTCTTCGTCATTTAACAAAACGATACAATCGCTCTCAGTAGAATCTCAGCCTTGTTCTAATTACGTTCCTCACGAGAAGAAGCTGTTGCAATCATCTTCGTCTCTCTCTCTCTCTCTCTCCCCCTCCCCCCCCCTCTCTCTTTCTTTCTCTCTCTCTCTCTCTCTCTCTGACAGTAAATAAACGTGTATAAATCTATCTATATTTCACTGAACTCCGTGTTATATAGAAGATTTCGATTGACTTCGTTTATTCGAATCAAGTTGTCCTTGTAATTATATGAAACATCATCATCATCATCAATTGATCTAGTCGTAGAATTTTACAATTAAAAAATTGAAAGTAATTGTTATTAGTTGTTGTTGAAAGTAACGTTGAAAATTGAAAGTAATTGTTGTTAATAATTGATGTATGTAATCGAAAATTTATGAATGTTTGAATATTATTATCAAAATATTTGTATTTTGTATATCATTTGTATTTGTACATCAAAATATTGTATTTTCATGATAGTATCAAAATTATTCGATACTTTTATAAAATTGCATAGTTATTGGAAAATATTCTTTTTGAAAAAATTATTAAAAATTTTATTCATATACACTAGGACGTAAATCATGCGACGAGTTAATAAATAAAAGTTGACTTTTATCTCTTTTCTATATTTTCCTATATGTAAGATTTTTATTTGTTATGTAAATCTTTTATATGTAGATTTATTTATTTATTTATTATAAATAGCTATGATATTAATCTTATATGATACGTTATTAAAATATAGATAACAAGAAAAGTTAAATATAATTTCAATTCGTAAATAATCATGATTTATATTGGTTAAACATATTGAATCATGTTATATTGAATGAATTTTATGATTCATAAAAAGAGTTTCCTTAATTCATAAATCAACGATTGTATGTGAAAAATTGTAAAGCAAGAGGCTATGAGTATTACCTAAAGAAATATGTTCTCTCTCTCTCTCTCTCTCTTTCTTTTTCTCTCACCTTCTTTAATTGGTATGCAAGTAGTATTTCGTTCTTAGTTAACACGCATACCCTGTGTATGAAATTTTTTTTTGTCTTTCTTTCTTTACTATAAGAAGAGATGAGAAAAGTCTAACAGATTTTTCTTTTATAAATAACTTTTCTCTCCCTTTCTGTTTCTCTTTTTCTCTCTCTTTTTTTCTCTCTCTCTTTTTCTATCTTGCAACGATGAGAGTATTACGGAACACAGTTAGTCGTGTAGTAAAATACGTTCGAAAACTTGCTGACGATGCAACCGCGAAATGTGCACCATTCGCGGTTCTGGTTCACACGATTTCGAGCCGCGTGTGTGTGTGTGTGTGTGTGTGTGCGCGCGTATGTGTTCATGGCTTGATAATAACGTTCTCAAACGACCACCCGTTATTCTTCCTCTTTCACTTGAATTCCTATTCCTTGTTCCTTCTTAGTTTTTCTTGTTAAAATATTATAATACGTAGACAGTTTTATCATTTTGTAGATAGACAATTTTTTTTAAGTATATCGTGATTATATTTTTTTTTTCGTAATGTTTGTTAAAGCATAGATTTCAAATATATAAAAATATATTTTTACAAATTTTAACTATGTGATGTATATCATTTTTGTTTAGAATTTTTTAAATATATATTTTTAAATATATATTTTTTTAATTTGAAATATCTAAAGTCTCTCTCTTTTTCTTTCTCTATGTGTATGTTTCTGTATGTGTATGGATATAAAGATTTTAAATACCTCCGTAAAATATATTTTTATAAAAAGTGGAAAAATTTTAAGTACTTATAAGATAATAATTTTATATTAAGCAAATTTCGTCCTTTTTAAGTCTAATTGGAATAATATTTATAAAAAAAAAAAAAAAATAATAATAATAATCAAAAAATTGTTTTCCTTTTTTGTGCGAAAAATTTACAATGATTTTTTTTTAATATAGTAATAGATAAAAAAAAAAAAGAATAAGAAGAAGAACAAGCAAAGAAAATGTCAATGATAAGCATAATTAGAATTTACAACGAGCCTGAATAATTACTTTGGTAGTTTGGTATGACTTAATACCCGTTTTACGAAAGAGAATGGCTCTTTTGATCGTTTTGTGCTCTACACGTTTTACTCTTACTTTCTGTGTAATTATTTCTTCTCGAGAATAAGAGAAACAGAAACGAAGATGTTAGTGAAGGTTAATTGCTTTTTAAAGTGTTTCATCTAATAGAACATCTATACATACGTAAGAATATGTATATTAATCTTTCTATTTATTAGAGATAATAAATATAGTAGATAAAGATATATTAATAATTAATAGAACTTGTTGTTTGTCTAGTGAATAAATAGAATTTACTATTAATTCGAAATAAGATAAAAGAAATAAAATGAAAATATAAAAAAGATAATTATAAAGATTAAATTTATATCAGAAATATTATTAGGAAAAAAGTTATATCGGAAATATTATATAGGGAAAAAAATTGTATTAAAAATATTACATAAGAAAAGAAATTCTACTATGAAAATTATGGTAAAAAAATTATATTACAAAATTATATTAGAAGAAAGATTAACGACAATTAATTATATATATTCGATATAACATCGATTTTTATTAATGGAAAAATTCTGATAAAATTATCTAGTGAAATTTTTTATCAAAAGGAAAATCTGTTTCTCAAATATTTTTTCAAAACATTCTTAATAATCATGGTGTTATAAAACGGGGAAGATATTTGCTAGTAATCGTCTAGTAGAAAGTTGAACATCTTTTGACGAGAGAGACGAAGATAAAGTGAGAGAGAAAAAAAAGAAAGAGTGAGAGAGAGAGAGAGAGAAAGTTAATAACATCGGTTGGTATAATTCTCTTAACGATTCTATTTCGAATCAATCGATTTATTATTATCGATTATTGAACTGAATTTATACGTATATTGCGTAAGAAATTTGCGAGAACGCAACGGAAGTGAAAGGAATTTCATGATGAGATACACCTTCTTATATTCTATTATGCGTTACATAAAATTGGATCTATTCGTGCATTATTTCACTCAACATGAATGAAAATAATATAAAACAATAGTTAATAAATTATTTATACTTGAAGAACAAAAAAATAAGCTAACTAAAAAAATAACGTTAGCTTTTTTTTAAACAAAAATTCTATATGATCTCCATATTTATTATTATATTTTCCTTTTATTACTTTCCTTTTTTCTTTTTTTTTCAAATCATTTATAATTCAAAATCTTTCTTGTGTCTACCAAAGTTTATACAGATTATTATCAAAGTTTCTGAGTGATTTTAAAAATCAATTATTCCATAACAATAATAATAATAATAATAATAATGATAATGATAATAATAATAATAATAATAATAATAATAATAATAATAATAATAATAATAATAATAATAATAATAATAATAATAATAATAATAATAATAATAATAATAATAATAATAATAATAATAATAATAATAATAATAATAATAATAATAATAATAATAATAATAATAATAATAATAATAATGATAATGATAATAATAATGATAATAATGTCATTTTGCTGTTGATTTTTACAAAAAATACTACTTGGTATTTCTAGGTTTTTTTTTCTTTTTTTTTTTTTTTTGATAGATCAAACAGCGGAGTCGATATGCAAGAGAAGACAGTAATTAAAAGGTTTCTATTATATTTGACGTATTACAAGTCTCGTAGTCGAACAAGAGAAAAAAGATAAATAAAAAATAATTGTAACGGAGAAACAGACAAAAAGATAAAATAGTTGAAATGAATGAATTGGGGGAATTTTCAGATCACAAAAAATTTTTCTTGATCGTCGATGGTAGTAGATAACATGTAGTAATTTATCAGTAATTAGTAGTTATTAAATACTAATCATATTTACGAAGGACTCACTGTGAAACTTGAGTAAAAGAAAGACCAAAAAAAAAAAAAAAAGAAAAAATTAAGAAATTACTCTAATGACCAACCACTGCTTGTGATCGACATAAATGATAAGATCGTGGAATTGCATCGTAGATTTCTAATCCTAATTCGAATTATGTTCTTATTCCATGTACATCCTATTTCAATGCACGTCAAAAAGCCATAAAGTCTATCATGAAATTTAAATATTTATAAATTTTTATTCAAATGAAATAATTTATTTGTTGGTTAATAACAATAACAAAAGTTTTAATAAATGACAGTTAATAATAATCGTCAACGATTGTTTATTTAATTGTTTATAAAAAAAAATTGTTTATAAATTCATACATAAATTAATAATTTGTTTATAAATTCATATATATTATTGTTTTCGTTATCAAAATAGACTCTATATAGGAATGTGTATGAGATTACGTTAATGAGGTAACGAATAAAAGAAATTCTCTACGTGGATTGGGAGAGGGAGTAAAAAAAAAAAAAAATGACTAAGGTGTCCACAGAGTAATTTGCCACGGCAAATTGCTTGACGCGCTTCGATTCGCCTGGTATGTGCTTAATGAGGCGCCCAAGGCGAAAGACAAATAAAGTACGTTCCTTTGAGAATTTCATTCCATCTTATTTATCTATTGCAATTTGTTATCGATATATCATCTATCACTGATCATCAATCTGTGAAACTAGCGATTTATTTTTTAACGAAATTTTCGAAGGCGTTATATCCCAAAAGTATTTTCTTTTATTTTTTTATTATGATATACATTTCTTAATTTTTATTATAATTATTTATTTATTTCTTTTTTTTTTTTTCTTTTATTATTTTATACATTTGTTTTAAAGTGTATTTCATCCGATATATTTCGCCTCTTACAATTCATTATCGAACTATCATTCTATTATTTATAAATAACCGTATAGACCTTATGGATCTATCGATACAAATTTCAATTAAAATTTTTTAAATATTACTTTATAAAAAGATTTTCTTTTATATTTTTATTATAATTATTTCTCACTTTATCATTGTAATTATTTATTTTTATATAAATAATTCTATATTCGTTTTATTATTTATCATTTAGTATTATTACAATTATTTCTCTTCCTTTAAAATTATTTTATATAACATTTGGTTGAAAAAAATTACTTGTAGAATTTTGTTTTTAAAAAATGGAATGAATGTCATTTCTTTGGAACTGGACATTGCATTTCATAACGTGAAAGGACTATCTCTTTCTCTCTCTCTTTTGCTTTGTCTCTTTTCTTCCGTACTTTCCCCTGATCCCGTGACAAGAATAAAAATAAAAAGGAAGATGGAGAAAGAGATAAAGACAGAGAGAGAGAAAGAGAGAGAGAGAGAGAGAGAGAGAGAGAGAGAGAGAGAGAGAGAAGAAATGGCAACAATAATTAAGATCACTTTGGAGAAGGTTAATTACTCTTGGTTTATCCTTCATCGAAGTGAAACGTGTTTGAAAGGGTAGAATCGATCAAAGTTTCCTTTCCTTTCCTTTGTAATGTCCGTTTTATTCTATTCTTTTTTTTTTTTTTTTATATCACACTTGCAACGATCGAAAGATTATACATAATAATAATAAAAAACAAGATATACCCGCTTACCTTTTTGAAGAAATGTCGAAATGTTTTATTAAAAAAAAAAAAAAAAAAAAAAAAAAAAAAAAAAAAAAAAAAAAAGGAAAGAAAGAAAGAACGAAAGAAAGAAAAAAAAGCGACACTTTCACTGTATCTTCCAATATTTAACACTTTTTTGTTATTTCGTTTTTTTTTTTTTTTGTTTATATATTTTTTTCCTCCCAGTTAAGACACACAATTTTATTTAAACGACAACTTTAAATTTAATTTGTTAACTAGAAATAAATTTTATGCAGATATATATATGTGTGTGTGTATGTGTGTGTGTGTGTGTGTGTGTATGTGTGTATGTGTATGTGTGTATGCATGTATATATGTATGTGTGTTTGTGTATATGTATGTGTGTGTGTTAATGTACGTCAACTGAAAACACGATCACGAGTTATTTAATTTTTGTGTAAAAAAAAAAACGAGAACGATTATCGACCGTTTCGAATAAGGAGGAAATTGAAGGATGGTGAAGATGTTACTGAGCCTGCCAGCAAGAGTTCTCCTCGTGATATACTCAGGGAGGTTCAAGCACGTGATTCGTATACGAAACTTACTTTCACTACATCGACCGGGATAATTCCGAGTTTCTATCCTTCTAACTTACTTATGCGTAGATATGGGGCTGATCGACGTTACCGCAGTGATCGATACTCTGTTTCACGTGACGATTGAAATCCATTCGAATGTCTTCGATCTATCGATTGATCGATGGATCTTTATTCGACTTATATACTTTTTCTTTTTCGCTTTTATTTATTTTATTTTTTATATATATATATATATTTTTTTTTCTTTTACAAAAAGTGAAAGGTTCTTAAAATGAAAAAGGTGAATAGTAATTCTTTTTCTTTTTCTAATTTTGTTCGAAAAATATTGAAACGTACATGGTGACACGTATTATGTGTTATACGTGTAATGAATACTTTCATGTAAAGATATATATATATATATATATATATATATATATATATATTAATTTTATTAATAATAATACTTAAATAATACGTATACATACACAATTTCTCTTTTATTTCTAACGATAAAGTTTTATCACTCCATGATATCACCATGCTCGTGTAAGAACGTAACACGTAATAGGTGCAAATGATACAAAGGTAATGATTATAGCTGTATTACTAAAGTCTTACCTACGATATCGTAAGTTCCACGAACTTTGTTTCGACATAGTCATATACGTGCATTATGTATTTCAAAGAAAATTTATGCAGCAAAGGCTGACACTGAATAATAATTAGAACGTGGGAGCAGAATTTTACAATATCTTTTCTACGAGATGCCAAATGAAGGATCTTTTCATTCATTCCTTTTTATCTTTTTTTTTTTTTATATATACTATTGCATTTCAAATTGAATATCTTATGTATTTATTTATATAAAAAAAATTCTAAAAGAAAAAAGAATTGAATCGATCTTGAAATCGTTAGATTGTATAGATCTTTTTTGTTTTTCTTTTTTTTCTTTTTTTTTTTTTCATAAATTAAACATGCAGCTTATGTAAGATATATTTTTTGTATTATCATTGCCAGTAAGTAAAAAAGAAAAAAAAAGAAAAAGAAAAAAAAGAACAGAAAAAAATTGGAAGAAAAAATTCGATCTTGAAATCGGATAGAGACCATTGATTGCAAAAGTATAAAATTTAGAAAAATAGAAGATTGAAATAGAATTGATAGCGTATAAACGAGAGACACCGGATTTCTCGTAATTAACGGCTCGTCCCAATTAACGAGACGGGCTGTACCTTTATCGTAGGAAGGCTTTCTCATGGTCTAATTATATTACGAAATTGGCTGTGGCCATAGGAACATCGTTTTATACCTTACAATCGGCCGAACAAAACTACTAAGGCACGCTGAGATTTAGCATCGTAAGTTAGCGTGTAAGTAACGTGTAAAAGGTTCGTTGTAAAACGAGATCGTTTTCGACATCGACACCCCTTGACTTCATTCGTCGATGAAGAAATATACTTTGAATAATAAACGTTCGTAAGGAAGATGAATAAGTGGATGGAAGGAAAAATAAAAAAAGAAAAGAAAAAAACAAAAAATTAGGCCAAGAATTTGCATGATTTCTTTTTTTCTTTTTTTTTTTTAATTTAATACTTCTTTTTGCGGACCGATCTCTTTTTTTTCTTATTCTTCTTCTTTTTTTTTTTTTTTTTCTTTTATTATTACTCATAATTGTAATAAGAAAATATGTCTGCATAGACTTAGGAGAAAAGAGAGTAAGTTGCTGAAAAAAAAAGAAAGAAAAGAAGAAGGAAGATAAAGAAAACGAATAATTACACGATCTTTTTTTTTTTCTTTTTTTTTCTTCATGCACCAGATTACTCATCGGCAAGCCTTTGTTTTTCTTCTTGCAAAGTATCCGGAGATGGTGTTTCTTACGGCGTAATTCGATTTACGGGTACATTTCACAAGTGGTTCAAGTCAAGGTCTCTCTCACGTGATGCACGCGAACGTTAGATACTCTTTATTAACTCGCGACATTTCGTCAACGCCGATGAACGAGACGCTTTGTTTTTTCTTCTATAATTTTTAATTTTTTTAATTTTTTTTTTTTAAGATCTTATGTAAGCGAAATTTGATATAGCGTCGATTTCGAAAAGCCTTTGGTTAGAGTAAATGTAAATTAATGATTGTAATCAGAAATAATATAATAAGAAATCAGTAGAAAAATTAAATATAAATTGTCCCATTTAACCCTACTATCTTTAATACCATTCTTCTTATCGATGACACAAAAAAAAAGGGTATCAGATTAGTTAAGTAATTAATTTCGAAAGTAAGTTACTTAGTAAGTAATTTCGAAATCTTTTAATACTATATTTTATAATCTAAATAAATAATATTAATAAGTAATTGTTAACAATAATTTAGTATTATTTGATCAATAAGTAATGCTAAACTTTTTAATAAAATATCAATAAAAAAAAATTCTGTAAAAATACTAAAAATTCTGATATTTATTTATTAATTAAACAAACTCAATATTATGCTAATGATGTTTGTTTAAATGTTTTTTTTTTTTTTTTTTTTTTTTTTTTTTATAAAAAATATGTTATTTAAATATAAAATATTTAAATATAAAATTAAATAAAAAATTGTATTATTTTATTTAAGTAGAGAATATTGTAAAATTTCTTATTAAATAACAAATTCAATGGTTCGTAATCAAACTGCGATATACAAAAGGAACGTACGTACACATATACATATATGTATACATATAAGTAATACGAATTACCGATTTCTCGGGAAGATAATAAGGAAAATGAACGAGAAAGGATCATTTTCTCTGCATGGCGTAAATAATAAAAAAAAAAAAAAAAGAAGAAAGAAAGAAAAAAGAAAAAAGAAAAGAAGAAAAAACAATAACAATAACAATAACGATTCGCAATTTATTATAACAAGGATGAAAAAGAAAGCACATCTCTCGACATCTTCCGGAATGTGAATCGATTGAAATCTACATTTTTTACGAACATAATCCTGTGAGAAATACATATACTAACAATTTTAATTGTAATTATGTGAGTTTTCTACGTTTCCGGGAATTTTAGTTTGTCAATAAATCAATTCGATGTCAAGTCTCTCAATTTATTTTGACAGAATCACTTTTACATTATTATTGTTATCATTATTATTATTATTAGTTTCTTTTTCTTTTTTTTCGTTTATTTTTTTCACGAAAATCGTTACGAAAAGCTTTGAACTAAGATTTAGTATATTATCGATGATTGATAGCCATGTTTCATGGAATAATTTATACATCGAATTAGAAGAGTGTTTCGTAGTAATAGTAACTCATCGTAAGATGTAAAGAACTCGGGTGATAGTAATAGACGAGGATCGATGGTATGATCACGCGAGAGAGAGAGAGAGAGAGAGAGAGAGAGAGAGAGAGAGAGAGATAGAGAGAGAGTGTCTATGTAAGCTCGTTTATTATTCCTTATCGGATCGATTGGCATTATGGTGAAATTTTCATTAAAAGGAGATTCTGGAAGTCGAAATCATCTTACGTCATCTTTTCACTTGTCTTGATATATTTTTTCTTTTTACGACGCGTAAAACTTAATTGTGCTTTTTAAAATTTATTGAAATCGAGAAATATGGTTCTTCCTTGTTACGTCTTGATCCGTGATTTTTTTACTACTTTTCATTTTTTTTTTTTTTTTTTTTTTTTTTTTTTTCTACAAAATGTTTACTTGTGCGTACCATCATTCAGTTGTTTCCTTTTTTGATACGCGATTATCTCGTGAAATGTTATAATAAAAAAATATTACTTTTGTATAAAATCATTAAAAGTCTTTTTCACGAAGTCTTCGTATTTCTATTTGAGACATTATTTCGTGTCATCACGTTTTATTTCACTAACAATTACATTTAGAATTGCCTTTCACATAATCGGCTCTTTATCTGATTACTCCGGGATGTTAAGTAAATAAATAAAATAAAATAATTAAACCAAAAGCGTAAGAATAATCTTAGAGTCGTTTTGATATTATGACTTTCTAAACTGGAATCAAACATAGTTCTCCAATTTTCTGTTAATCCGTTAGAATTTGCTTAATACTGTTGACTTGTTTCCGTAAATGGTATTTTTTTCTTTTTTTGTCCCTTTTTGTTTCTTTTTTTTTCTTTTTTTTCCTTTTTTTTCCTTTTTTTTCTTTTTTTTTCTTTTTTTTTTTTTATTAAACTCGAATGACATGACAAACAGAAAAAGAAAAAAAAAAGAAAAGAATAATGAAGATGTCTGTATTCCTTATTCGAGAAGATTTCACTTGCAAGTTTCTTTTTTCTCACGCAGAAAGTTCGTTAAACTCAACCGTGTTCCCATTTCAAATCCGTACACCCACGGTATCGAACTTTGACCTCGGCCAAGTCCTTTCACGGTCTTGTTACTCTTGAAAAGGAACGTTGAAGGATTTTTTTTTTTTTGTGAAAATTTACTTTGAGACTTTGAAGTAGTTAAAAAAAAATATTTATGCTTGTTTTAGTTGCATGGCTT